AATTTGAAATTGAATATTGGCAAACTTTTCTTCGAACAGTGTTCGAAGAAGTTCGAAGTAAATCGAAGTAATCTAAGAAAAACCCTACGAGTAAATTTTTTTTTTATTTGTCACCATCGTTTAGAGCATCTTTTAATTAGTAAGAATTCAAATTTTTAAAATAATTTACCGAGTAGTTTTTAAGATATGATTTTTTGAAGTTAAGGTTTGCTATTCAAGTATTGCGCCATATAGGAGAAATGCATGTTAATCTTACTTAAAATTGCATGTTTATAAAAGTATTTGTTTTAAGGCTCTTCTTTTGCTTAAAAATGGTCAATTGCACCTTCTTTGTTCTAATTAAAATAAACAAAAACTGTTTCTTTACTTAAAACAAACAAAGAGTGTCTGCGTACTAATTAAAGCAAATAAAGAGTTTTTTGTTCTAAAAATGATTACTGATGATTGAGCAAAAAGGATCTAGCAGTTTAAAGCAGTAGCTTTAAATATAAGAACAAATCTTTTTCAAACTAAATCACTTTCCATTCAGATTCTAAATTGTTCATTTTGTTCTAGCTTTCTGAACTTTTTTTGAAAATGTTCTCAGCAAATGCTTTCTTATCACTTTCTACTGATGTTGAATGCAATAAGTCAGTTGCTTCGTGTGCAACTGTTATCACAACAACTACTACCTACAAGCTAACTGAAGTTAATCGTAGAATGTACCAACAAAATAAATCAGGTGACTTATTGCATTTAACATCACTCGAAAGTGATGAGAAAGCATTTGCTCAGAACACTTCCAAAAAAAGTTCAGAAAGCTAGAACAAAGTGAACAAGTCGTAATTTGAATGAAAAGTGATTTGATTTGAAAATGATTTGGCCTTATATTTAAGGCTTGTGCCTTGAACTTCTAGATCCTCTTTGCTCAATGATCAGTGGTCATTTTTAGAACAAAAAAAACTCTTTATTTGCTTAAATTAGTACGCAGGTACTATTTATTTGTTTTAAGTAAACTAGTAAACAAACAGTTTTTATTTATTCTAATTAGAACAAGAAGGTGCAATTGACAATTTTTAAGCAAAAAAAGAGTCTTAAAACAAATACTTTTATAAAAATAAAATTTTAAGTAAGATTAACATGCATTTCTCCTATATGGAGCAATGCTTGATTAGCAAACCTTAACTTCAAAAAATCATATCTCGAAAACTACTCAGTATATTCTTTTGAAAATTTGGATTACAACTAATAAAGAGATGCTCTACACGACGGTAATGATGAAAAAAAATACTCGTAGGGTTTTTTTTATATTATTTCGATTTACTTCGAAAGTTTGCCAATATTCAATTTCAAATTTCATATCATCCTAAAGGGCAAGGCCATCCCTTTAGAATGGTCTTCATTTGAAGGGCCTAATAGTTATTGAGTAATGATTTTTTGAAGTTAAAGTATTTTATATTCATTTAAATTAGAAAAAAAATAATTAGTTCAAAGTGTGTGGACTTTTGATATTATTTTTAGTGCATTTGATTTGTCTCACTGAGACGAACAAAATGATATAAAATTTGTCAAGTTGTCACGACATGACTTTTTTTTGTCGCCCTGTGTAAGTTGGCAATTAATTTAATTTAATTAATTCAGCCATTCAATGCCCGCCCCCCGTGATCCCCGTCAACGGCCACCTCATCCAGTCGGAGGCGGCGGGCATGGATGGGGGCCGCTACGCCGTAGGCAGTCTCGTGCAATTCGCCTGCAGGGGGGCTCACCAACTCGAGGGCGAAGCCAGCATCATCTGCACCGAGACCGGTTTTTGGTCTCATCCGCCCCCTTTCTGCAAGCCGCGGTGCCCCTATTTGGGAGAGCCCGACAATGGATTGGTGGCCCCCACGAAGTTTGCCTACGAGCCCGGAGACGAGCTCCAGATCACGTGCAGTCCGGGGTTTGAAGCCAGGCTGGAGGCGCGGCCAAAGTGTTTACCCGACGGGAGGTGGTCGGCCCCTCTACCTAACTGCACCAACTATTCTGAGATTTAATCGTTGAATGTTTGTGATATGATGGGAAAGCGGCAAGAAATCGGCGCAAAATTAGAGTTTGTTGCCGGTTGCTTGTTGTTTTTGATAATTTTATGACTCGTCATTAAGGATTTTTCTGTTATTTTTTACCAAAAGTTGTTACACATGATGATCTCATGCCGAATACAAATTTTTATCAAATTGTAGATATTTCTAGCGATAGTGAATGTATTTACAACGAAAATTATGGATATGTAACTTATTTGTTTTTATGTAAATAAATTCAAAAACTGCCTTAAGGTAGTCAATTTATATTCATCTGTAAAAGTTTATGTAATAAATTTATATTGTCAATAAAACGTACAATTGATTGTAAACTTTTTTCAATGAAAAAAAATTGCCCCCGTACGAGTTGGATAACATACGCTAATGGTCATGTTGTGTTTTATGTCCCAGGAGGAAAAAAGTCATCAAGTTGATTTAATTCGAGTCGTAAGAGAGGATACAACCAAAACAAAAAATACAATTTTCCGCTAAAGTAATTTTGTAAATGACTAACTGTTAATAAAGAGGTTGTCAAATGGTGCAAATAACTTTACCCTGGGTATGTTTTGTTCATAGTAGGAAACTGGGAACTTGGAAATAATTATATTGGACATCTTTAGTCACAGACGACCTTTATCGAGTTAATTAATGCAAAATTATTATAACCGCATAATCATAAAATCAATTTTTTTTCTAATCACAATTTGTACTTTTCTCAACTGTTTTCAGTTAACAAAGTTATTAAATCTTTAATTGTAGAAAAAATTTAAAAGTGTAGAGAAAGTATTTAATTTTCTCCACGACTGTGTAGTACATTACAAACGAGGTGGTAAATATGGCATTACTACGAGTGTTCATGTATAAAGCAGAAAGGGTAATGCCATTACCACCAAAGTTTGTATTCTATTTTATTCACAATCACATTATTTTTAATCAAAAATTTGAATAAAATAAAATTCTAACAATGATAAGGTCCAAAGTGGTAGGCCATCCAACTTGCGTTTGATTTTTGACATTTTAGAAACGCCAAAAAAATATTGAAATAATGTGTGAATCTGATATTAAAATTGTTGAAATGGAGTAGTGCGCTCCCTCAGAAGTAAGAAAAACTGCTACAGAAGCAATTCAATACTAGTTTAGCAAAATTTTATGCGAAACTTAAGAATTTGAAAGGTATTTTATTTTATTTTTGTAATCTTAACGTTGGCAATCTTTCTCACTCGTTGAATAATATACTATTTTCAAAAAATTGTTTAAAAGAAATAGGTCCATACTTAATACGCTAATGCGAGAGGTACTTTGTGCTGTTGCTTAAAAGAAAACACTTGAAATTATCTTAGAGACATCTTGTACCAAAAACAATTTTTTCAACGACTGTTATAGAATAATAATTTTCTTGGTTGATTTTTGATTACAGAATTCTTATATTCTTTAACATTGTACAAGAATAATTTTTAATTACAGAATGCTCATATTCTATACCTAATAATGTGCGAGAATACTCTCATACTAGTGTCATTTTAAATGGTCACAGGTAGCGCCATCTTGACAATTCTTAAAATTTCTAAATTTTAGTATGTGATTTTAATCGTAGAAAAAGTATAATTGTAACTCATTTAGAATGAAACTGTCACACTCGCCTTCGCCTCGTGAGACGAACTTTTCCACTTGTGAGAAATATATAACATATCCTAAACTTGTTACAAAATAAAAAAAAACAAAAACCAAATGACTACGAAAAAAATATTTAGTGCTAGGTAAGGTACTATAGTGATCGTTTTTCAAGAATAAAATTTTTCGAAATTCTTTTTAGTTTTCGAGTTATGCATTTTTTTTTAATGGCAACCTACTGTTACAATTGTTTTAGATGATCTAAAAATGACTTCTAATTAAATAAAATTAATAAAAATTAGAGTGCTATAAAAATGTGGCCGTGTTTATGTCAGGAGGCCAAAAATAAAATTTTGTTTTTAAATTATGCGACTTTTTTAATGGTAATTTAATATTCACGGTAAATAAAAAGTATTAAACTAAAAAAATAATTAGTGTCGCGTAAAGTGACTGAAACTGAAATGTGACTGTGATTGTCGAAATACCCTTTAGTTTTCCAGTTTTGCAGATTTTTTTTAATGGCAACCTACTGTTTTTAATTAAAGATTTTGATCTAAAAATGACTAATAAATAAATAAAATTATTTTTTGACCAGTAGTTTTTTTTTATAAATACTTAAAATTATTTTTTGACCAGTAGTTTTCTTTTTATAGTTTTTAGTTGCGTTCCAAGCTCATAACAAGATTTTCCGAATATAACCAAAGTGGTCAATTTTTTTGTGAAAAATAATAATTAAGTCTACAATTTAAATAAAATTTTACATATTATTTATATATTCTTTACATATTTTACATATTATTATTATTACTTTTTTCAAAAGTAGACAAAAATTCTATATTTTTATAAATTTGTAGCCTCAGAAAATATTTTTTTCTAAATTGGTCAGTTGTTACGCAAATTCTTATTTTCCACAAAAAACAAATCTTTGTAACTCATTTCACGTTAAAAAACGCAGTTGCAATGTTACTATTTTGCACACAAAATTTATTAGAAAAAATGAAATTCTTGAGACAACAACACGTAAATGTAATATTCATTTTTACACTTGAATAAATTTTTCTAACATAATTTTTTAACAAACAAAGCAAGAAACTTTTGATTAATAACAAGGCAGATTATTATTTTAATAATTTTATTAAAAAAAAAACTAGTAGAAAATAAAATCTACACTAGAATATTAAAGCACGTGGTCCACGCCTTAGCATTCACTTGCTTAAGAATAGCCCTAAGTGACGTCCCTGGCCCACACTCAAACGTCCTTGGAAAATACTCCCCTTGACTCCTTTCGTAAACAACATGAAGAAGTTGTTCCCATTTCACAGGTTTAACAATCTAAAAGAAACCTCCTTAGACAAAAAAATCATTAATTGAAATCTACCTGTTTAGGTAACTGTTTTTTGATATGTTGAGCGTCTTTATACCTTTTCCCATCAACATTTGAATAAACGCTAATTACAGGATTGTTTATTTCTGATTTATTTAACGCTTTTCTAAACGGTTCAACCGCTGGTAACATTAAATTTGAATGAAAAGCGCCACTGACTGCAAGCCTTTTAACTTTTTTCAAATTGTATTCTTTGGCGTTTTTTTCTAAATAATCCAGTGCCTAGAATCAATTCTATAATAACAAATTGAAAAATTGCACAAAAAATTACAGATTCGCTCCCGGCGATGACTTTACAATGGGGGTACAAATAATTGGCGATTTGACATTCTGGCATTAAATCGCCCTTGTCTGTTGCCCATTCTTTGGCTTTCCGAATTGCTTGATTTAATTTCGAGTCGGGATTGTACATTACTGTCACCATTCCGCCTTTATATGCCTCACAAGCCAATTGCATGGCTTCCCCCCGAATTTGAACCAATTTCAACCCTTCAAAAAAATTGTTATTTTTTGTTAAAAAAATAACAAAATGAACCTCGCTCAAACCCAATAGCCCCAGCGAACACCAACGCAGTAATTTCCCCCAAACTGAACCCTGCAGTCGCCACACAACTCTCAATAGCCTTCGGCCTCTCCTCTTTCAGTCTTTCTATAGCGGCCAAGGAACTCACCATTATTGCCGGTTGAGAATACTTCGTTTGATCTAACTTGTCTTTGGGGCCCTCAAGACACAATTTTAACAAATCATAGTTTAAAATATAATTAGCCAACTCGAATAAATCTCTAGCCATGGGATATTTGAGCAAATCTTTGGCCATACCAACAAACTGACTCCCCTGACCCGGAAATAAAATTATTGTCGATTCGCGAGGGTCGTGTTTAGGTTTCTCGATAAACGATTCGCCCTGTTTCCGAATTTTTGTACCTTGGGGGTAAGGCAATGTCGCCCATTGCTGCTCCTGGGTCTGGGGGCGAAGGTCCTCAAATGTGGCAGATTCGTCAAGGAGTTTTTTGAGCGGAGATTCTTCTGATTTCTTCTCATCACTGGTAAGTTTTTGAGACAGGGAGAAGGTGCGAAAGAGGACACACTTGGAGTCTTTTATACCGGTGAGATTTCGTGGCAACTTTGCGATAATTTTATAAATATTCATCACGCAAATTTCATTTAAATAATTAAAAAGTCAAGTGAGTTAGTACAGACCGCGAAAATATTTCAATTACACTTAAAAACTAATTCGAAAAGTGCACATTTTGATAACTGAACATAACCTCAAATGTCAAGTTAAGCTTGTGACCGAGTGCTCGTTCAATCTAAATTTTTATTTAAAAAGAAAAAAATATTCTTGTTAGCAGAAATTAATCTCCTTCAGCTCACTTCAGTAACAGTTAATGTAAACGTAAGTAATAATTTAGAAATAAATTTAATTTGAATTATTTATAATCGGACTAAACCTCTTTCGAAGAATTTTATTCTGCATAATTGTCAAAAGTTTGACCAAAAGTTAGGTTATAGTACACCTGTCAATTTCACGTGTGTAATGTTTATATTTTTAATTATTTGTAATTAAATTATTCGAGAGTGCATACAGTTGGACTTGAAGGATAAGTTTGTATATATTTGGTTGTTTGAAGTTTACAAGTAAAAAAGTAAACAAAAATGACGAATACACAAGAATCTGATATAAATCCTGAAGAAGATTTATATTATTTCGAAACAGATCACTTGGCTTTGAGGGGGAATAAAGACTATAGTGAGGTGCTTAAAAACTTGCTCATTTTATGTGCTCAGAGAAAACAAGCAATAAAGGTAGTGTTGTGTCAAATTTAATTCGTTTTTTGATTAAAGGAATGTTTAGGACTATAACAAAGCTGTAGAGTTGAAAAAAGAAGCACTCGCAGATCCGGCTAAAGTCTTGGAAAAAATTGTAAAAGGAGAGTCTTTGGGAATGCCAGATATGCACTGCATGCCTGAAGTAATAGCAATTTTTTTTTGAATTTGTTAAAAGTAACGAATTTTAGTTGCCGGTTATTGACTGGTCAAAATACGACGTTAAAATCCCGGAGGAGACTTTCAAACTTATTTATTCAGACGGTCCTGAAACTGTTAAGAAAAAACACGAAACGCCTAAAAAAGAATCAAAAATTTCACACGGGGTACAGCTCTTCTCCTAAAATCCGTTTAAACTAAATTTACTTAATTCTAGAAGTGGACGACAGAAGAGCAAAAACGTTTAGAGGAGTTACTTCAAATTTACCCTCCTGAACCGGTTGAAATGAGAAGATTTAAAAAAATTGCTGATGCTTTAGGTTAGTTACAAAATTTCTTAAAAAAAAAATAACACGCATTTTAGGTAATAGAACACTCCAGCAGGTCACAAGCCGAATTCAGAAATATTTTGTAAAATTGTATAAAGCTGGTTTGCCTATTCCAGGCAGGATTCCAAAAGCAGCTGAAAAACACAAGGTGACCTATCAATGATGTGAGAACACCAAAAAAAAAACCGATTTTTTTACAGAGGACTTCATTGCATAAGCATCAGCGTCACAATCACTATTTGTGGAAACCCACAACTTTTTTTCCTGATTTGTGTGTTCCTGTCGTTATGAATGATTTAGATAATATTCCTGGTCCTAGTTCTAAAACTCAAGAGGAAATTCCGCAACCATCCACAAGCTCAAACTATCTGATTTCTTCTGTTTACCACCAGGAAAGTGAAGTTTTGCCCCAAAAGAGTGAGACTGAATTACAATTAGAACTTTTAAAAAAGATAAGAAAAGCCAAAGTTAGAGATAATGAAAGTGGGTCCAACTTATATCACCATGTTGGATTTAAAGTAAAGTTACACAGATTTGATATATTTTTATAATTGATTTTTTGCAATTTGCAGTGTGATTTTTGCGGCGAGGAGCCTATAGTAGGCACCAGATGGCATTGCAACACTTGCAAAAGTGACTCAATTGACTTTTGCACCGACTGTGTTTTAACGCAAATATATTCCGATAATTACCATCCATTAAACCACAATTTAATCGCATGCAGTGGTAAAGAAATTGACTATTTGAGTGACTCTGAGTCAAATAGTGGAAGTTTGGATAGAAATAATGAGAATAGTGAATCAAGTGATGAAGAAATGAGCGATATTTCTGATACTGTTAAGGATCAAGTGATGGCAAATGGAGTCGAAGAAAGTGATAAAATAGACGATAAAAATAAAAGTGAAGAAATACCGAAGCTCAATTTTGGAAATTATGAGGAATCTGGGGCCGAGTTGAGTTCAGGTTTGTTCGGTGAAATTGAAAATCCTTCTTACAATTATTTGCACTCGAATTTGTTGCTTGATTAAGGATTGAGTTTTTTGTTGGGAACTTACTGACAATTTTGAATTGTTTCGTTTTTATTTATTGTCTTTGTTTTCACAAAATTTATTAATTGAAATGATAATTTTTATTTGCAATAAACGTTTTTTTTACATATTTGCGTTTTGATTTAATAATTTAACAATGTCCAAGAAATAAGTAAACGTTGAATTTATTTATTTTTAGTTATTTTGACAAAAAATTGATGGAATTGAAACATATTTACAAATTTTATTTGAGTATTTAATTTTTGCAGTTTCTCAATTTAAGTCTTTGTTTAAATTGAAGATTATTTAATGAATTTGAAATGATGGAGTCTTGGAGCGAAATTTTAACTTTTTTGTTGTTGTTTGGAGTCGAATAATTAAAAAGAAAGGTTGACTTTTTGGTTGAGGAATTAATAAATTCTGAATTGTTTTTTATTCATTGATTTTGTTCTCACAAAATTTATTCTAAATTTCTGTTTATCTAAATTTCAAATTAGTGATTTGTGTTTTAGTCTCAAAAAATCTAAATCTCGTTTTTAATTTATCACTAAGTTGTTTCATTTATTTTTTAATTATTTCGACATATTTATCGGTGGAATGCTAATAAATAAGTAATTAAATTTTCAATATTTATGCTATTTCAAATGTTACTTAGATTTCTTCAGTGAAATTGAATAAAATTGTTGTTTGCAATCAAATTTCTTGCTTGATAAAGTTTTTATTGCGAAATGAATAAATTTTGAGATATTTCGTGTTTTATTTATAGTTTTGTTTTCACAAAATATTTGATGTAATACAACCGAAATGAAGGTTACAGATTGCAGTATTTTTTTACATATTCGTGTACTATGCTTTATTCCTGCAAAAAAACCTGCTAGGTATTCCAAAACGTTTTTATTGAGAAATTAATAAAAGTTACGTTGTTTATATATTTCTTAATTTGACATAATTTAAATTGTATTAGTGTTAATTAAATTATTGCTAGTGCAATTGTGTTTACAATTTCAACCAAAAAAATTTACATCAGAAATTTGAAAATTAGACAATCTGAAATCATCATTCAGTGGTCTACCTCTTTGAATAAAAAATTATGAACCGGACAATTTGAAATAAGTTTATAAAAAACTTGTAGATGTTCAAAAAACTTAAAAGTTTGGAAAAGAATGCGAATTAATACAGAATACTTGAACACTACAAAATAAAATAATATAGGGTTGTAAGAATAACGAAAATTACATCAAATTGAAGTATGTTTTTTTTTTTAATTCTCCAAAGGGGGAAGCAAAAATTTTGTTCCAAATTCGATTCTAGTTAAAATAAATTAAGAGTAGGTAGTTTTTGTAAAACTGAAAATGTTATATCTTTTATATGTGTAGTAAAAAATAAAATATTTGGCGATATTCCTAAATGGATCTTCATTATTTCTTCGAAGAATAAAATTACAACATCTCTGTTTTTATTTCATTTTATTACAACTGTAATTATAAATTACATAACAGCGATAAATAATTATACATACATTATGTAGTATGTGGATTATCGGGTGGCACAGCCGCAAACAATATCTGAATAAACCTTGTAAATTTTCCTAAAAAATCGCAAGAATAATAAATCAACAACACAAAAAACAACTTACTCATAAACAATTCTGGTGTCCTTTTCTTGTAAACAAACCAATAATAAACCAAAACGCCCAACAAAATAAACGCTAGAGCAAACAAATATTTGGGAGTTGGATCTGTTACTATCGGTGTGACACTCAAATAAATTGCTATTAACAAAACAAAAATACAAATCCAAGTCGGTACCTTGAAAACAATTAAATCATTAAACTGAAACATCAAAAATTATTCAACACACTTTGTACGGCCTGTGAGCATCCCTCATGGTCCTCCTCAAGACCAACAACGACACAAAAGCCAAACCGTAGAATATCCAAATGAGAAAACTGACAAATTCGATCAGTTCAACAATATCACCAGCTACTATAAAAAGTAACGATAAAATTCCCTGAGAAACAACAGCAAATGACGGGGTTAGACGTTCATAATGAACGAACGAAAGACTTTTTATCATTAAACCATCCTGGCCTGCGGCGTAACAAACCCTGAAAAATCAAGTTATTTGACATTTTTGGGATCATTTTTGGTACCTAGTGACTCCGAATTGTATACTTAGGGCACACCCAAACGTCGCCAAAGCCACCCCCAGAGGTATCAAAAAGGCCATCGGCCCTAAAACTCTCTCGCCGAATGTTACAGCAACAGCAGGCGAGTTTATCATCTCAGGAATTGATAAAGCTGTCATGTATGCCATGTTCATGAAGACATACAAACCAGTGACAATAGGAACGCTTATCATTATACTTCTTGGAATGTTTCTGAAATTATTTTTGGGTTAATTTTACACATTAGAAATACAGAGTGTCCCAGCGAGATAGTAAATCCATTATTGACCTTTAATTGTTAAAATTGATAAATACTAAACCAGTGCATCGCCTGAAATTATTTTTAACCCACAAATAAGTACACTACGAACTTATATTTTTTTAAATGAAATGGTAGCTTTTTGTTGGTGTTTTTAAGGTAGACTTTTATTGGTCGATTTTGTTTAGTTTTTGAAATAAGTTATTTTTTTGACAAAAATATACTCTTTTGAAAAATTTAGTACACAAAAACTAAAAATCAGTATTTGTTTACAACTGCAAAGAAAGTACAAACTTTAAGATTACAATATTTTTTTAGTGTGTTGCGTTAAAACATGAAAAAGTTTGTTAAAAATTAAATAACTTCTTAAAAAGTTTATGAAACATCCTGTTTTTGTTTCTGCATCTATTTGTTTCTGATTATTAAATTATCTTTCCAAAAACATTACTTTTAATTAATAGTGTTTTCCTCTTTTGTCAAATGTATTTCACTATTACTCAAAGTTCCCACAAACGTCTTTTGAAACCAGTTTTTATACTATTTTTTCTATTTTGTGCGTTTTATTTATGTACTTTTTTAACATAAAAGTCGATTTTTCAAAATTCAGAAACTTTTGCCCTCATAAGATGGTGGTTGATAATAAATGTCACAAAGTTTGAAAAATTCGATTTTCGAAGTGTCAAGCCCTGAATATTTTTCAAAATTTTGTTGCATTAACAATTAATACTGCAAATATTTCATGTACACCGCCTGAAATAACAGAAATCGCTCAAAACGCCGCTGAAAATCATCATTACCAATCTCTAGAAAGTAAATTGTACTAGTCTATTTCAGCATCCAAATCCGTGTTGAAATGGCTCATTAAAACATCGGTTTTAGTATCGGAATAAGCTTTCTTTCAGACGCAAAATAGAAACATATCTTTTAATTTATCAATTATAAACATTAAAAGTTTATTTTTTAGAAAGACAATTTAACAATCTATTATAGATGCAAAAATAAAAAACAGGGTGTTCTATTTAAAGTTTTTATATGATTTAACTTTTAACAAACCTACATTTTTTTAACTTTTCGACTGTAATACATTAAAAAATGTTATATAGTCTTAAAGTTCGTACTTTCCTCTTTAAACTGTTTTTTTCTTTCTAACTGTCTTAAGTTTTTGTGCAATAAATTTTTAAAAAAGAGTATGTTTTCGTCAAGGCAACCAACTTATTTCACAAACTAAACAAAATCGGCCATCAAAAGTTTAGCTTAAAAACATAGAAATTATAAGCTATACCTAAAAATGCCAAGAAACAGGGTGTTTCATTAAAAAAAAACACAAGTTTATATTGTGACACGCTGTATAGATGAAAATAATTTCACTAGATTTATCGACTGCCTATACTATAAATTTTCTAAAATTTGAATATCTAAAGGTATTAACCGTTTTTTTTTTATAAACAATTGTCAATGTCAAAATCGGGTATAAAAGTAGTTCATATCGCTTTAAAAGGGAAAATTGAGAAATTAGATCTACATTGCGTACTCGGATTTGGGATGAGCAATACACCTAGTTCATCAATTTCTTCAATTAAAGCCAGACAACGAAAATTCTTTCTAATTTTGACACTGACAATTATTATTTATTAAATGGAACAGACTATAAATAATGTACTTTAACAACTCGCTAGGACACCCTGTATAAAATTTACTCACACTTCTGGTCGTTTTATCTCTTCAGTGATAACAGTGACGGCAGACCTGTAAAAAAATAATGAGAATGTGCTATTTCCAAGCACTGGTTTAATACAATTTCTTATTACCATCCATCATAAGCCCAAAGTCCGCTATAAAACGCCAAAGCAATGCTTTTTGGTGTGTATTTCGTACCCTGGAAACCCCTATTTAGATTGTCAGTGTTGCCTTTGATTATTTCATAAATCCCCCCAAAAATTACGATCAAACATGCGAAAACCTTAAATCCGCCGAAAATGTTCTGGACTTTGACGTAAAGTTTCACGCTTGAAACATTGATGTATGTTATAATACCTTAAGGAAAAGAAAATTGATTTAGGGTGATGAGTAAAAAAGTTTTTTCTTACCTAAGGCAAGTAAGGCCACAGTTTTGACCGCCTTTTTCACCTCTTCCGACTCGGCCTGTATACACATCAGATCTAGCAACGGTTGGCACAAATATTCGGAAAATGTTAAGATAATAACCGCGACTTCTGCCGGTTTTATTATGACAATCATGATCCACGAGTAGATGAATGAGGGCAGATGGCCCCAGAATTTGTGTAAGGGGCCGAAAGCGTCCATGTAGTATGCATATTCGGCCCCCGAACGGGGAATAACAGTGCCTAATTCAGCAAACGCCAGAGCTCCTGAAATTTGTTTGTGAAAATATTTATTTATTTTTGAAAAATCACAGGGCGACAAAAAAAGTCATGTCGTGACAACTTGACGAATTATATATCATTTTGTTCGTCTCAGTGAGACAAATCAAATAACTAAATAATTTTTTACTAATTTAAATGAATTTAAAATACTTTAACTTTAAAAAATCATTACTTAATAACTATTAGGCCGATTTCCTTCAAATAAAGACCATTCTAAAGGGACGGCTTTGCACTTTAGGATGCTATGATAAATTTGAAGTAATCTAAGAAAAACCCTAGGAGTAAATTTTTTTTCATCATTACCATCGTGTAGAGCATCTCTTTATTAGTTGTAATCCAAATTTTTAAAAGAATATACCGACTAGTTTTCAAGATATGATTTTTTGAAGTTAAGGTTTGCTAATCAAACATTGCGCCAAATAGGAGAAATGCATGTTAATCTTACTTAAAACTGCATTTTTATAAAAGTATTTGTTTTAAGACTCTTCTTTTGCTTAAAGATGGTCAATTGCACCTTCTTTGTTCTAATTAGAATAAACAAAAACTGTTTCTTTACTTAAAACAAATAAAGAGTACCTGCGTACTAATTAAAGCAAATAAAGAGTTTTTTGTTGTAAAAATGACCACTGATCATTGAGCAAAGAGGATCTAGAAGTTTAAGGCACGAGTCTTAAATATAAGGGCAAATCTTTTTCAAATCAAATCACTTTCCATTCAGATTTTGACTTGTTCACTTTGTTCTATCTTTCTGAACTTTTTTTGAAAATGTTCTAAGCAAATGCTTTCTCATCACTTTCGAGTGATGTTAAATGCAAAAAGTCACCTGATTTATTTTGTTGGTACATTCTACGATTAGCTTCAGTTATTTTGTAGGTAGTAGTTGTTGTGATAACAGTTGCACACGAAGCAACTGATTTATTGCATTCAACATTTTGCATGAGAACATTTTCAAAAAAAACTCAGAAAGCTAGAAGAAATTGAACAATTTAGAATTTGAATGGAAAGTGATTTAATTTGAAAAAGATTTGCTCTTATATTTTAAGCTACTGTTTTAAACTTCTAGATCCTTTTCGCTCAATGATCAGTGATCATTTTTAGAACAAAAAAACTCTTTATTTGCTTTAATTAGTACGCAGGTACTGTTTGTTTATTTTAAGTAAAGAAACAGTTTTTGTTTATTCTAATTAGAACAAAGAAGATGCAATTGACCATTTTTAAGCAAAAGAAGAGTCTTAAAACAAATACTTTTATAAAAATGCAATTTTAAGTAAGATTAACATGCATTTTTCCTATATGGAACAATACCTGAACAGCAAACCTTAACTTCAAAAAATCATAGGATCTTAAAAACTACTCGGTATTTTATTTTAAAAATGTGGATTCTTACTAATAAAAAGATGCTCTACACGATGGTGATGAAAAAAAATTACTCGTAGGGTTTTTCTTAGATTATTTCGATTTACTTCGAACTTCTTCGAACATTGTTCGAGAAAGTTTGCCAATATTCAATTTCAAATTTCATATCATTCTAAAGGGCAAGTCCATCCCTTTAGAATGGTCTCTATTTAAAGGGAATCGGCCTAATAGTTATTGAGTAATGATTTTTTAAAGTTAAAGTATTTTAAATTCATTTAAATTAGAGAAAAATTATTTAGTTCAGAGTGTGTGGACTTGAATTTTTTTAGTGCATTTGATTTGTCTTACTGAGACGAACAAAATTAAAATAAAATAAAATTCGTCAAGTTATGACGGCATGACTTTTTTTTGTCGCCCTGTGTAATTGGGTACCTAGAAGCGAGATGATTCCACATAGTGTCCATACGATTAGACACATTCCTACTGAACCGGAATGTTCCAATGCAGATGCCGGAGAGACGAAGATTCCGGATCCTATCATCACGGCGAGGATGAGGTTTATGGCGGAAAAAAGGCCCAGTTCGCGTTTGAGTTGGACGCCTTGTTTGGCATCGCCATTGATGTTCGCTACAGTGCCTGAAAATAAAAAAATGGTGAGTTTTATTAACGTGAAGTGGTAACAGAAAGTAAAAATTATGAAAATTTTGCCTAAACTTATCAAGTTACTGATTTAATAGTCGTTTTTTTAAATAAAATTTTAATAGGTTAAACAACTAATCAAAAAATCAGTTAAAACACCGTTTTTCAATGATACTTTTGTCTGCAAAAGTACGACCTTTTTTTAACTTTAATTTTAATTTTTATTATTTCAATACACGACACTATTTTTCAACCCATAAATTTTGAATTCTTGAAGGACGACAAATAGCTTTTGGGAGCGGATACAAAAAAATTTGGTTTACTAAACACCATTTTTCCAATTTGTATTAAAATGAGTGTTTTTGGACTTAATATAATTTTATTAGTTATTTTAAGTGCACGTATGTTGTACATAAAATACAGTTTTTACAGAAGAAAAAAACAATGTGGTTACTATAGTGGAAGGGTAATTAAAATCTGAGCTCATTATTTTCAAGAAATATTTGCTCTGATTATATTAATCATATAGAAGTTTGAAAGTGTTTTTGGCAGCTCTAACAAAAAAATTGTTTTTAACAAGTTTCTAAAAAGTTTTTGCGATCTTATCTGCAACAATTTGTCCACAAAAACTGTATTTTAGGTACATGTAACAAAAATAACTATTTTGGACCTTTACTGCATAAATATTTTTCAGCTTGTGACGAAAAAATGTCTTATTCGTCTAGATATTTGAACAGAAAAATTGGACAATTGAATAAAATAGTATATTACGTTACCATAGGTAAAAGTGGTAGTTTATGTGTCGAAGCTGAAAGTTTATTTTAGCTGAGCCATATAAACTTAGTTTTACTCCGGATAACATACTACAGAGTGGTTATAAATGATTTTCATCAACCCAGCTTTGGAATTTTTTTGCATGTAACTTTATTAGTGCCGCTCTACTTTTTTGAAAGCTCTAGTTCTATCATTAGTGTCACTTATTAATTAATAATAAATCGTTGTTAATTAAACTTTTATTGTTTCAACTAATTTCCAATAATAATTGATAATAATGTATACTTTGGAAGAAAACAAGTTTATAATTGAAATCTATTTTGGAAGTGGAAGCTTAGTAAACGATTTTTTTATTTTTAATTAAAACAAGTAGGTACCCCTATTTCGTAAAGCGGCATTTTTTATTTTACATGGAAAATTCACAGCTGCCTAGATGAAAATCATTTATAACCACTTTGTATTTATTTATCTGCAAATGTAATACAAATTGAGAATAAAGAGCAACACTATAATTAGCAAGTAAATAAATAAATAATCAGGACACTTTGCAACTAACAACGGATGCTTGTAGACAAACATCACGCGTCAGTATCCGAATTTATGTTGAGATTTTCAAAAAATTAACAATTAAAATTTAAAAAAAAAAATTTAACTAGTGCAGTTATTAGTACAAAATTCCGAACGTTGATGATCTGTAATGGACTTCTCCAGAAATTGCTGAAGCAGCAAAAGAGACAACAACATTGGTAATTGTCATAGTAAAAGTAAAAACGCTTAAGTAGAAAAATAGAATTTTTATACCGTGGCTGAAACGTGAAACTTTTATTTGTGACATTTATTAGTCATAAAAGTGGTTAGTTTTGTTATGTTTGCGGATAAAACTTATTTATTTAAGAAACATAAATATTTAACATTTAGACTCCTTATTTATTCAACACATCACTTATACAAAGAGTTGCAAAAGTCGCGGAACATCTTGTGAAAATTATTATAATCCTTAAAGTGTAAGAAGATGAATGTTCCGCCCTTTTTGAATTGTTAGCAACTAGCAGACCATTTGTATCAGACTAAATTTACACTGAACAATTTTTTTCGTGATTTCATGTAACACATTCAGCTTATATGCTTCTGGTGCATATGTTTTGCATTTAGTTCTTTACGAAGTACGTACTTCGAATTGGGTTAAAAAACACCAAATTTAGATTTAAACTTTTATTTCAACATAACTGTGAAGTTAGGTTCATAAAGCTGTTCGGTAAATTTTGGGACACCTGTATAGTATAAAAATTAATTTTTAATTTACAAAAAAAAAGTTTTATTATAGTTTTTTCTGGTTTCAGTAACTATATTTTTAAGAGTTGTAGATATCTTTATTATTGTGCCGGTATAAAATAATACAAAACGTGATAAAAAATTAATTTCTCTAGCGAAGAGCTTATTACTTAATAAAATGTTACGTGAAAATTTCTCAAGGTTAATAAACTGTGATGTGCACTGTCACATGTATAGTATCTGTTACATTTTGCCTCTAAACAATTTGTAAATAAGCAATAATCAGTAATTACCAACCAAGGTATAATTAAACACGATCATGGGCATAAATGATTACAGTGTAAATGACAAGTAAATGCTGTTTATTTTTAATCAATAACAATTTTAGGATCCTTAATTTGTTTGGCAGCCTAATATTCCAATTTTTGTCGTTTCTAATAAGTGCTATGTACAAAATTTTGAGTGCAATACGTACAAAAGCCAATTCTCACCATAAAATTTATAGAATTTTTGTTTTAGAGGCTGCATTTTTAAGAAAAAAAGATTCTGACTATGTTAAGAATAAAAATTACTCTCAGGTGTAAATTATGACATAACCATGGATGCCCTATTTTCCTGGAGTGTTACACCCACGTTTCCACGACAACCTGACGCATGCGGAAAATGGTGAAAAGTCAATTTTCACACTCTTTATGCAAAGAGAGAGAGAGTATTCCAAATCTGGAGAATTCTATTTATAAAGAAAAATGAGCAAGACCTACTCCAAATTCTTATGGCTATGTGACAATAGATTTTCATAAAATTCCAATCAGGACATTAAATTGGGACTAGGTTTAATTATTATTATTATAAAATCAATAGAAAACTTGATGACAGTTTATAGTCGTTTTATTTGTTCTAGTTTTATTTTATTGTAATAAATTAAAAAAAAAAAAGTTAAAGTTTTTACAGATTTTTTCATTTACTCCAATTTACTACAATCCATCACTTATTGTCACAAAAGTAAGGTTTCGTTGCTTTCCATTACACAATTAGTTTAGATAAATCTTATGTATTACAAATATCAATTTATCAATCACCTGAATGTCAAAAACACTTATCAAAGGACATAAAATAAAAAACTAAATTTTTCATAAAATAACTAACGAAAATTCACTTACCGGTCATATTTAATTTTTATTAAATTCCCCTTAAAAAACGAAAAATTGAAATCACTGCATAATTGTTTAATCCTGAAGAAGTAACTTATGTGCATTCACCAGATTCGAATAAACTGTTCTGAGCACTGACAACCGTTCATTCACATTAATTTTAAATTATAGATATCGGAATCGTATCACTAATCTCTTGTTTAATTTGAAGAGGATAAGAGATAGCAACAATTTAAAGTTGAGCGCGGCACTTCAACGTCTGAACAAATATTCGTTGAAGAAAATTAGTTGCACATTGCGTGAAAATAATGACCAATAGAAATACATACATGCATACGCGCAACTCTGTACCAAAATACGCCAAAAAAATCTTGCATTTGCGATTGTAATAAAAGCAATAATGATAATAATGTTGTCTGTTTAATATCTTGCAATATCGAAATTCAAACAATATGGTGATTTGTGTGGTAAACAAATATTGATGACCCTTAAACCATTCGATGTTGAGCAATAAAGTCGAAATTTTCCCAAAATGTTGTGTGTGTGTGGCGATTGTGAAGGGTAATTGTCGTAATTATTGTATAAAGAGAGTCGTAATTTGTAGCTTCCTTTTGCACTGACTTGCACTCTAATATCCAACTAATAAATTAAGTAATTACTGTGATTAAGGTCAAGTGTTATGTGAGTTGAATTGTAATATCGATTTTTTCGCAAACCGTGATAAACAAATCATTCATCGGCAACAATAAGTCGATCTAATAAACAACTTATCTGTAATTAAGACTCTTAAATTTGTGTAAAAATTTATCCAAGTTGAAGTTTTATCGTTGGAAATACAGGGTGCGCCAGAACTCGCGCCCCAGAGAGAAATTTCAAGTAAGATAGGATACCAGGAACCTGGAAAAAATGTTTAAAAAATCGTATCTGTCAAAAAAAATTGACATTTATTTTTTACATTTGACATTTTTCTATGTCTATTTAATGATACTGATGATCTTGTATATGTTTTTTTTACAATTATTTAGTAAAGGTACAAAAATTTTGCCAATAGAAGCCACAAATAACATTGAACAGAGTTACAATTTAGAATACAGCTTCCTTGTTTTCTATTCTAATAACATATAGCAAAAAAACTTGAAAAATTATTTTTCCAACAGAAATAAATAGTCAAATTTTTATAGATAATTTTTTTTTACATTTTTTCCATGTTCCTGGTATCTTACCTGGCAATATTCTCTAGGGCGCGAGTTCTGGCGCACGCTGTATAGATTACTCGGCCAAATGTTCGCTTGAAATTATTTGATTTTGATAAATAGTCACGTTTTAATTGTATTTTACGCTACACTAATTATTTTTTTCGTAAAGTGGTTAGTTTACGAAAAAACGCTTGGTTCCATACTTTTTATTCACCCGGTATAAGTATAGTATATATAAAATGTTACTTCTGGACCAGGCTGCACATGCAAACATCATTGAAAAACGACCAAAAAATATGAAGCGGACAAAGAAATCAAAGCTTTTTCTCCACAGAACCACGGCTATTATTCTCGTCAAGATGATAAAACCGAAAATCAGGAATGTTGTCAAACTCTAGTTTGATCCTTTATCTCAAAGATGATTTTGAGTTTTTCCGAAAACAGCCTTGAATCGCCAAAGATACGTGATCACGCCCTTCTTAACCCTTTCTTTCCTGCTGATTTTAGTTACAGTGACTATATTAATAGTCACTCTAATTTCAGTCGTAGTCAGGTTCCGACGTAGCAAAACTTTATAGGAGAAACTCAGCTACCAATAGATGGT